CATCAATCTGTTGTGAGTTTATTTAGCTGTCCAGTTTCTCCAATATCATTTATTGAAATGACTGTCTTTTCTCCATTGTATTTTCTTGCCTGTTTTGTCATAGATTAATTGAAGATAAAAGTGTGGGTTTAGTTGTGGGCTATTTTATTCCATTGATCTGTGTGTGTGTTTATTTTTTTTTGCCAGTACCACACTGTTTGATTACTATAGCTTTGTAGTAGAGTTTGAAATTGGTGAGCATGATACCCCCAGCTTTGTTTTTCTTTCTCAAGATCGTTTTGGCTAGTTGGGGTCTTCTGTGGGCCCATACAAATTTTAGGATTATTTGTTCTAGTTCTGTGAAAAGGCCACTGGCATTTTAAAAGGAATTTCACTGAATCTGTAGATTGCTTTGGGTCATATGGACATTTTAACAAAGTTGACTCTTCCATCTTTGAGCATAGAATATCTTTCTGTGCCATCTTCAATTTCTTTTAATAAGTCTTACAATTTTTAGAGTACAGGTCTTTCACTTCCTTGATTAGAATTTTTCCCAGGTATTTTATTCATTTTGATGCAGTTGTAAATGGGATCTTTTTCTTCATTTATCTTTCTGATAATTCAGCATTGGTGTACAGAAATTCAAACCATATATTAAATTTGTATCCTTAGCTTTATTAAAATCACTTACTAGTTCTAAAAGTTTTTTTTGTGGAGTCTAGGGTTTTCTCTCTCTATATAAATAGTATGTCATCTGAAAATAGTTACAATTTTGCTTTTTCCTTACCAATTTGGATGCTTTTCTTTTTCTTTTCTGATTGCTGTGGCTACAAGTTTTAGTACTTTTTAATGAAAGTGGTGAGTGTGGGCATCCTTATCTTACTCCTGGTCCTAGAGAAAAAGCTTTTCACTGTTGTGTATGATATTAAGTGTGGGTTTGTCATACATGGCCTTTATTACATTGAAGCATCTTCCCTCCATATACATTTTGTTGAGAGTTTTCATCACGAATGGATGTTGAATTTTATAGAAAAGAAAAAGAAAAGCCTTTTCTCCATGTATTGGGATGATCATTTCTATTCTTTATTTTGTTAAGGTGGTAATCACTTTGACTGATGTTGAACTCCACAGGATGTTAATCCCTGGAATAAATTCCACTTCATCATGGTGTATGATCCTTTTAATGTATTTTTAGTTTGGTTTGCTAATATTTTGTTGAGGATTTTTGCATGTATTCATCAGGGATATTGGTCTGTAATTTTCTATTTTTTTTGTGTCTTTGTCTGGTTTTGGTATCAGGGTAACACTGGCCTTATAGAATTAGTTTGGAACCAATCCTTCTTCTATTTTTTGGAGTAGTTTAAAAAGGACAAGTATTAGCTCTTCCTTAAATGTTTCATAGAATTCATCTGTGAAGCCATCTGGTCCTGGCCTTTTGTTTGTTTGGAGGTTTTTGATTACTGATTCAATTTTGTTACTAGTAATTGTTCTATTAAGATTTTCTATTTCTTCCTGATGCAGTCTTGGAAGATTGTACATTTCTAGGAATTTATCTATTTCTTCTAGGTTGTCTAATTTGTTATTAGCTGTATATCTATTTCTTCTAGGTTGTCTAATTTGTTATTAGGTGTATAGCTGTTTGTAGTAGTCTCTCATAATTCTTTGTACTTCTGTGGTGTTGGTTGTAACTTCTCTGTCATTTTTTATTTTGCTTGATTCCTCTCCCTTTTTTTCTGATGAGTGTGGCTAATGACTTATCAATTTTGTTTATCTTGTCAAAGAACCAAATCTTAGTTTTACTGATATTTTCTATTATTATTATTATTATTATTATTATTATTATTATTATTATTATTACTTGGACTCTATTTCATTTATTTCTTCTGTTACCTTTTTTATTATTTCCTTCTTTCCACCAATTTTAGCACTGTTCCTTTTTTAGTTCTTTTAGATATAAGGTAAAATTGAGATTTTTCTTGTTTCTTGAGATAGGCCTGTATCACTAAATTTCCCTTTTAAAACTGCTTTGCTGTGCCCCATGGGTTTTAGAAAGATGTTTCCACTTTCATTTGTCTCAAGATATTTTTGTTTTTCTTTTTGATTTGTTGTTGACCTACTGTTTAGTAGCATGTTGTTTAGCCTCCATGTGTTTGTGTTTTTTCTTTTATTCTTGTAACTGATTTCTAGTTTCATACTGCTGTGGTCTGAAAGATGTTTGATATGACTTCAGTCTTCTTAAATTTATTATGGCTTGTTTTCTGAACTAATGTGATTTATCCTAGGTAATGTACATTTGAAAAGAATGTCTATTCTGCTGTTTTTGGATGGAGTATTCTGTTTACCTTTTAAGTCCATCTGGCCTAATGAGTTATTTAAGGCTACTGTTTCTTTACTGATTCTCTGTCTGGGTGATCTATCCATTGATTTAAGTGGGGTGTTAACATCCCCTACCATTATTGCTTTACTGTCAGTTTCTCCCCTCATGTCTGTTAGTAGTTGATTTATTTAGGTGCTCCTTTTAAATTTCTATACTTAATTTCAAATGAGTCTGAGAAAGAATGGGGGAAAAATGTAACTATTCAGTCTCATTTTTTTTTTTACCAGAAGTTCACTTCTTAAATAAAAATAAGATTTCTCCTTAGATTTTTATTTATAGCAACAATTTTCCATGTTTACAATATGAAATTTGATTATGATTTATTTTATGTCCATTAGCTCATAATTATAGTTTTTTTTTTGTAATTCTCTTGGTATACACTTAATTTATATTCCTCTCAGAGGTTTTATTATTTATTAAAGATTCTGATAAAACTTAGGATAGTGTCCTCACAGGAAAAAAGATTCACCCTCATGAACCTTTCATGAAGGCACTAGGTATAAAGTTGTGGGCAGGTTAAGGGAACAGACAAGGGAATAGAAAGGCACTAGGGACCAGAAACAGGAGGACACTATTATAGTCACTAGGGCCAAAGGAACAAGGGGAGGAATAGAGTTATGGGAGCCCAGTAGGCACCAGAACTGTGGAGATGGGGCTGTCCAGCAGAAGCTGTAGTACATAATAGAGAGATATAGTTGTTCTGCTAAAGCAGAGAGTAGGGAAGAAATGATGACTTCTCTCTCCTTTGCTCTTCCAGTTCAGGCAGTGGTATTCATTGGCCAGACCCAAACAGAAGCTAGTCAGCCAAGTGGACCCAAAAAATGTAGTTTGTAGGAATCAGAGATGGGCCAAAACTGGTATTAAAACCTAATGTTTAATAGCAATGTATTTCAAATATTGAATATATGCAATTTCACAAAACGTAAGTAAGAGTATGTAATGTACATTATTATGTATATTGATCCTGATTAAATGTAAAAAACTATTAAGAAACCTCATTCTCATGAGTATTTTGTTTTATATTTACTCTTAATATGATATAATAAAAATGGCACTTTATTTCTTTCATCTTCTTCCCAATAACCCATCATCACAGTCTTATAATGAGAAAAACATCAGACAAATTCTAGTAGTGGGGCATCCTACCAATATATATGACTAGTCTAGTACTCCTTAAAGCTTTCAAGATCATGAAACACAAGAAAAGTCTAAGAAATTGTCACATCCAAGAGGAGCCTAAGGAGATATTACAACTAAAACCAAGGAGATCTTAAAACGCTGAAACAATTGGTTAATAATAATGTTATCAATACTGGTTGCTTAACTGTAACAGTTGTACCTTATTAATGTAAGATGTTTTATAATGAGGGAAACAGGAAGCAGGTTATATGGAAACTCTTTGCACTATCTTAATTTTTCTGTAAATTGAAAACTATTAAAACTATTTAATAAAATCAGTTGGGCATACTGTATTGCTCTATTTCTGGGTTCTCTATTCTGTTCTGGGTTCTCTCTACATTGATCCATTTGGGTTTCCTTCTGCCAATAACACACTGTCTTGATTATTGGGTGGTATTATCAGAGAGAGAGCTATTTAAGTAGGCCTTCATCTCATGAGTACTTTTTAAAGTGGAACAAAAACATAGCAGATAAATCAAAGGATAATCAAGGCCATTATGTAAATTAAGACAAGCTGAAAGACCCTGAACATAAAATAAATCATAATCAAATTTCATATTTTAAACATGGAAAATTGTTGCTATAAATAAAAATCTATGTCATATGGTATTAGAAGTCAGGATAGTGGTTACCCTAGAGTGGCAGTGACTGGGAGGGAATGCAAGGGGTTTGGAGTTCTGGTAATGTTTTGTTTCTTGATCTGGGTGCTAGTTGTAAGATGTGCTTATACTGTGAAAAGTCACAGATTGGTGAATACACTTATGATTTGTATTTTTTGTTTTATTTCAATAATAACCAACAATACAACACAAAGATGGTGACAGCCATGAATATAACTTAAAAAAAAAACCCTACTGTCAATGTATTTTGTCACTCACAGTCAACAAGGATTTACTGGAAAAACTAACAATGATGTGTGTTGAGCAGAAATGAAAGACAGACCTTGACTTTAAGGAATTTTTGATCTCCTAAGGAAAACTGAATATTTAGACATGAAATTAAGATAATCAAAAGGCAATGTATCAGTCTATGAAGAATGCTATAGTAAAAACAGATCGAAAACTGGCATGTAACTGATCCTCATTGGAAGGCCTAGATATAAATACTCTCCAAGTGGGCTCTTTCTGTGGCAGATCTCTTTCTCTTTGACCTTAACAAAGGTCAACTAGGCCAAAAACCTGGTTTCAGAAGGTGCTTTAGCTGTGGTTGGGCAATGGGGGGACTGAGTGGCCCCTCTCCTCTTCTTCAGTGGGAGTAGCCTTTTATACTATGGGTTCTGTGTTTTCATTTTAAAAAAGGATTTTTTTGCTAAAATAAGCTTGAAAACCACTCTTCTAGAAATCTAATCTCTACATTTATGTATGTCAAATGACATACATGACATACATACATTAGAGTTGGAGAATTAAAAAAAAAATCTGAAACTCTAAAAATAAACCCCTTTTTAAAAGGAAATGAAAACTACCTGAAGTAAAGGGATAAAATCCTCTTGTTCTAGAGAGTTGCAGCTGGGCTTTGCTAGAAGACAGATAAACTTTGAGGCATCATCATGATGGTTATTCAGCAACCTAGAAAAGAAAACAACTGCTTAGGAAGATGGGCCACTGTGAACAATGACTATAAAGTCAACAGTTGATTTCAGTCTGAACTGATGGCCGTTCATCACGAATTAAGTGCTCTCTTTTCAATGATTAAAAATGGGAATTTTCCCATGATCTTGATTTTGTCCAAGGGACATCTTAATAAAAGCTAAATTATAAGATGGTATATTATTTTTGTAAAATGTTTCTGGAGCTGAGAGCACAGAATCAACTGAATGAGTGCTGCTAAAAACATACTTGAGGGAGAATGTCTATTCAGGTTTAGCATAGGACATCTGGAACCAGAGCTCAGAGCTACCTGCTAGCCAGGAGGGAACACATCAGAGGGACCACTATGCACCACTTAAGACGTAAGCTTTGGTTTGCCCAAGTTGGCAGATATAGTCAGGGCTAACAGGATAAGGTACTTTTGAAATTATATTTTGAAGGACAGGCTTAAAAAAAAAATAGAATGCCCTAATAAATCTTCATGCTCTAAGAATTCCTTACATCCAACTAATTGCTGGACATTTCTACTTGGATACTATACTCTTGAAAGCAAAATTAAAATATCAAAAATCAAATTTAAAATATTCCTCTCAAAGTCAGTCCTTTAGACATCTATTTTTGTTAACAGTGGTAACATTCTGAGTTGTCTGGACTTGAGATTTTGAAGTCATTTTGAACTTATTTCTCTTCCTTATTTTCTCTGTATTCAATCAGTCTCCAAATTTTCTTGTTTCCTTCCTTAATCATTTGTTGAATGCTAATTGTGTGTCTGGCCTTCAGGATACTTGGGATACAAAGAAAATAAGACAGTTCTGTACCCTATAAGGAGCTTGTAGTCCAGTGAAAGCACTACACCGGTAAGATTATACTACTGCATGATAGCCATGGCAGAAGCAATAAGCACAGGGTGTTATGGAAAGACACAGGAGGGACAGTGAGATTCCCTAAAGAGAGGATGTGGGGAAGAAGGATATTGTGGACCAAGAGTTGCTGCACAAATGCATGGAGTGAAAATGCATGGAATATTCAGACAGCTACAAACGCTGGGGTGGTAAGAGAAGGGAACATGATCATGTAATATCAGATGCTGGAGGACCTTTTATATATAAAGAAGCCTGGAATTTAGCCTAGTCCACAGAATAATTTTAACTTAGAAAGTGACACAATCCCATGTGTTTTTTTTTTAGAAATATCAAATGAAAATCCAAACAAGGGCTTGAGCATGGTTACTGGCATTGGGCGATGGAGAGAAAGAGGCAAATTTGGTTGAAATGAAAAGGATGTGGTAGTTGATAGGTGTGAAGGGGTAAAAGGAAGGGGGAAGTTTATGATGACTCCTAGGTTTCTAGCTTGGACCCTAAGGTGCTTAGAATTCAGGATGGGAATACAGAAGTCTGGGGGAGTATTTATTTAAAATGTTTTAGACAACCATTCCTTCTTTTCTTTTTCCATTATACCGTCAGGCCCAGGGTCTTATGACTTTATGCTGAGAATGCTAGAAGGGAAGAAGTCATAACAGGCTTCAATGTTTACTCAACCTGGTATCTTAGACAATTCATCATTCTAAACATTCTTTGATTATTTAATTCCCCTTTCCCAAAAAATTCAGTAGCTCTCTACTGTTTACATGGCTCAGTCTAAATGCCTAAGCTGGGCATTTATGGCCCTCTATAATTAGGCTGGAGGCTGCCTACCTACCTATCTCACTACTTTGCTAAATGAAGCTTCCAGTCCAGGCAGCTATTCCCTGAGTGTGTCATGTGCTCTTGCCTATGTGCCACTTCTCATGCTCTTATACTCCCCCAGAATACCACCCCTCCCAACTTTGCTACTGAATGCTGGCTATTCTTTAAGGTTCAGCTAATAACCCACCTCGTTCAAAAAGCCTTCTCTGATAACTAAATTCCTTACTAATCTTTGCACTATTTAATTTATATTATATGTACCTTTGTATAGTGTTAGCTTTCTTTTATCTCTCTGGCAACTAAAGGGCAGGAAAAGTTTTAGCTTTTTTTCCCTTAGCACTTAGCATACTGACTTCCACATAAAAGATTCTCAAAAAATGTTTATGATCTGGCTAACAGATGCATACTTAACTGACTTCATTTGTGATTATTAAAGCAATAGTATGATCAGTATATTTATTCTATTTGTCATTCCTCAGCATGCTTAAGGCCTCTAAAGTTAAATATACATTTCAGAAAAAGATTAGTGCTATAGGTACTGATGGGAGCCACCTCTCAGGATTAGAAAATAGGTGGGGTGATTACAACAAAAATGGCCATGAAGTCTTTCAAACAGAGCCCTTTATAAAAAAAAGGATAGCATTACCAAACAGAAGTCACAGATGTGACAGATGAGAGACAGTCTGAGAGGAAAAGTCAAATTAGGAATGGTCTTTTCCTATCAGAAGCATGGAATGGAAAGAAAAAGTGTATTATGATTTTTAGCTAATGTTAGTAGCTGGTGAATTTAATATGGCAAAACAAAAGGAGATACTAAAAGTTGTGAAAGCTAGAGGATTCTGGAAAAAAGATGGTGGTGTAGGAAAGCAAGGCAAAAACCTCCTCCCCAAATCACACAGAACACGAAAATACACCAAACACAACTAGGGCTGAAAGTGACTTGAAGACTTCAGAATCAACTACCCACATCTGGGGAAGAAGAGAAGAACCTACAGAAAAGGGTAAAGTTGCAAAGTCATGATTCAGCTGGACTCAAGCCCTCCCCGCAACTGTAGCCCACAGGCGGGAGGAAGAGGAACGGAGCAGGGAGGGAGTAGAAAGAAGCCCAGGACTGCTGAACATCTGGCCCTGGAGATATGCTCCAGGAGCATAAGCCCACATTGCACAGTGCCCTGATGATTAGTGGGACTGGACACCAGAGATGGGCGCAACATGTGGGGAAGCTGAGATCCCAGCCGCCTGTGGAGAACAGGCATGCTCTAACGGCCCCCCTGAGGAAGAAAGGAGGGCGGGCAGTTTGAAAGACTTCCCAGCAGTGAGAGGAGCACCAGAGGGGCAAGGATTGCACAGTGATCTCTGTTTAGGAGAAAGGTCAGATGGACAATACCTCCCCAGCCTGCCTTCAGCCCAACAGGTTGAGAGCCCTCAGGAGCTTCAGACGCTCCATCCCCTTCACTGGCAACACAGCCTGGAGGCCCGTGGGCAGTAAAATCAGACTTTGCTCCCAAGTAGGTAGGGGAAGAAACCCCAGCCTGCTCAGCCCTATTTTCGGCCAGCTGGAGAGCTGTGTGCAGGAGCCAGACCCAGTAGCTCTTTCCTCCCTGCAGGTGGTGGTCCTGTTTGCCAGTGGCCCCGCCATCACAATAGGCAGTTCAGAGGGTGGCTCTGCCCACAACAACTCCAGGCCTGCTGTGCCAATGCTCTTCCCTGAGTGCACACAGGCAGCCCAGCCCCAGGAGTTTTTTTCTCCCGCTGGGGACTAGTCCCGCTTGTCTGCCGCCCCTGCCATTACGGCAGGCTGGAGGTAGGGTGGTTCCACCCATAGCAGTTCCAGAGAGTATTTGCCGTGCTCCTGTGATCAGCTGATGGCCCACACAGCCCACCTGAAATCAGATCGCTAGGAGCAAAGCAGAAAGGTGCCACACCCATGCACACCAACAGCTGGGACTTCCGCACAGGAAACTGAGCTTCTGGGCATGAGAGGGCACCTCTTACACAAATCTATTATACCATAAAAACACTGAAAAAAAAAGAGGCAGAGGAATTTGGTCCAAACAAAAATACAAGAAAAAAACACCAGAAAAAGGGCTTAATGAAACTGAAATCACCAATCTTCTTGATAAAGATTTCAAAATAAAAGTTATAAACATGCTCATGGATTTACAGAAAAGTTACAAGATCTCAGAAAGAACTTCAACAAAGAGAAAGAAATCCTTAAAAAAAGCCACTCAGAGCTGAAGAATGTAGTATCTGAAATGAAACATACAATGGAGGGATTTAAAAGTAGATTAGATGATGTAGAGGAGATGGTGAATGAAACAGAAATGAGAGAACAGGAAAACAAGCTGAGGAACACAGAGAAAAAAGGATCTCTAGGAATGAAAGAATAGTAAGAGAGCTATGTGACCAATCCAAACGGAACAAGATTTGCATTATAGGGGTACCAGGAGGAGAAGAGACAAAGGGATAGAAGGTCTCTTTGAGGAAATAATTGTAGAAAACTCCCTCAATCTGGGGAAGGCATAGACATTCATGTAACAGAAGCACAAAGATCACCCAACAAAAGGAACCCTATGAAGATAACACCAAGACATACTAATTAAAATGGCAAAGATCAAGGACAAGGAGAGAGTACTGAAAGCAACCAGAGAGGAAAAAGATCACTTGTAAAGGAAATCCCATCAGGCTATCAGCAGACTTCTCAGCAGAAACCTTACAGGCCAGAAAGCAGTGGCATGATATATTTAATGCAATGAAACAGAAGGGCCTCCAACCAAGAATACTCTATCTGGCAAGATTATCATCTAAATTTGAAGCAGGGATTAAACAATTTCCAGATAAGCAAAAGTTGAGGGAATTCACCACCACAAAACTATTAAAGGGATTCCTCTAGATGTAAGTGCTCCTAAGGTTAAATAGCTGTCAACAGAGAAAATAAACCCATATAAAGGTAGTAGATCAATTAATTACTAAGCAAGTACAAAATTAAAACAATTGACCACAAAGTTGGTCAAGGGATACACAAAGAGTGTAGAATATGACACCTAATATATAAAAAGTAGAGGAGGAAGAAGAAGGGGAGGGAAAAAAAAAAACTTTAGAATGTATTTGAAATGCAGTAATAACTGATTTAAGATAGACTGTTAGATAGAAAGGAAGCTATCTTTGAACCTTTGGTAACCAAAAATCTAAAGCCTACAATGGCAATAGTACATATCTGTTGATAATCATCCTAAATGTAAATGGACTGAATGCAACAAAAAAAGACAGAGTTACAGAATGGAGAAAAAACAG